TCTGGTAAACATTCAGACAAAAGCAAACGGAAACTATGCAACCTGCTCAGCGAGATGAGTCTTCTCACGCTAGTAGCGAGTCACCTCAGCTTGAAATCGAGCGAAGGTCTGATTATAAAGCACCATGGCCTGGAACCATGAAAGAGGCAAGTTAAAAAGACAAAGATCAGGACGACAGGCAGAATTTACACGAACTACCTGCTCACAAAGCCTATCCATTTCACTGAAAATGAGTGAGCCATCAAGCTCAGGGATTCTCTCGGGCACAGCTAAAGTCCTTTCAAATGCATCTTTATCTCTGATGGGCACCCCCACATCGGAAGGTTCTTTATTCTGGGCATCTTGCATTTCCTTAGAAAGTGAGAACGGTCCCCAAGGAGAATCACTCACATCAATAACACCGACGGGATCGATCGGGGTCGTCTTTTGTCCTTGAAGAGCTTCAAAACTGGGTTCCTCCGGACCGCCAACCAAATGCGCCTCAGCTCGAGGAATATTTTTGTCGATAGCCGGCTCAGGGACATTACTCAATGCCTCCTCGGCAGCCTCCTCAAACCGAGATTTTACTACGTCAGCACCAAGTTCCGACTTGGAAGCCACTGTCTCTACGGTATAAGGGACGATCAAGTTTCCCCCTCCCTCGGATACTAACGAGGAATCATTTTTCTCCTCACCTTCAGCTCGGGACTCCCCGCTACTCCGGGAGTTAAGGCTGATGAGTCAGCCTTAGGTTCTTCCAGTTTGGTCTTCTTGGATTCCAAAGGCTCAATCGACGATTCCCTTTGTCTTTTCTTCTCTTCGTCAGGTCTCGGGGTATCCGCTTTACCAAGCTGTGCTCCCTTCATCAAGGGGACGTCCCCCAGACCTGCACAAATGCAAAATGTAAACACAGGAAGTGAGAATGCTATCACCAGCAGTTCTGTTAAGAGATACAAATATAGCAGAAATAAAGGCTCACCATGGTTCCTGGCTTCCCATCGAGCTTGGGACAAATCGCGCCACACGCGCTCAACATATGGGCATATCGAATCCAGCTGGTTGACCCATCCCGAGAGGTCCTTAACCACATCGGGGTACACGGCAACGACTGCATCAACGGAAAAAGTCAGTTCATAGGGAGATGTACCAAAAGAAAAGCAAGATAATATTTAATTAGCGTATCTACTTACGTTTTATGTTCCACTTTTCAGGGAACGACATCCTCTACGATAGAATCAGATCCAAAGTCCTAACTCGGATAAAACGGCTCATGCTCCCTCCATTCCTAACTTCGTCGGTGCAGGAAAAAAAGGCTCTCAGGGCCCGACAGTAGAGCTTTATCAGGCCCTCACAAAAGAGTCGGGGGCTATAAATTCTAGTTAGGTGGTCGAGAGTGAAAGACATCTCCTTAATCATGTTCGCATAATATCTGGTCATGTAAACAATACGCTAGAACAAAGGATGAATCTGGCCAAGGGTTACTCGATAACGTTGGCAGAAGTCGAGGACCACGCGATCTATCGGAGGCGAGGATGGCCCCACTGGGCCAAGGGTAAACAGATAAGTATACACACTGAGGAAACTAGCCTTGTGTGTCGTTATGTCATCCTCCAGAGAAGGAATTTCCACAAGCACCGCGTCCCCCTAGCGGTAGTCGGCCTTCACCCTTTCGACATTTGCTATTGAACTAACATATCGGGATACGGGTTCGCATCGCCTCGGCTTTGAAGAAGGTTTTTCGGTCTTAAAATCGGAGGTCATTTCAAAGGCCCCTGGAATGCATTCCCTGACGCAAGGGGGCATTATTTCTTTACCCGTGTCCGGGTGCGAGGAAGAAGAATGCACATTTTCCTAAGGAGCAGAAGTGTAAGTTTTCGCCATTCTTGATAAAAGGTTTCAAAGGAGAAATAAAAATCGCGTTTCAGAAGAGAACACAAGGGAGCGGTAAGGAGAACACTTTTGAGGGCTTGGTGGTGCAGTGGAAAATAAGGAGCGAAAGAAGAAGTATTTATAGGGGTCTAACATGCACGTCGGAGCAGGCCAAAGGATTGCCAATCGCTGTAATTAATTTGAAGGCTTTTAAGGGCTGTGTGGACGCGACCTTTAGACACCTCATTTCGTAATACCAATCGTTTGACAGGGCGTGACTACCATCGTGATGGAAGTATCGAAGGGGCAGGAATTCGAGATGGCTTCTTATCGTTTTACTCTAAGAAGCGCGGGGACTATCTGTATACAGGTGAAATCGAGAAGTCGATTTCAGTATCATTATGTCTTTTCCTTAGCTTCGCCTCAAAAAGGCCTCAAAGGCTCGGGGGCGCAATTCGAGGTTTCAACCTCTAGGGTTCTTCACACCCAACCTCGGTGCAGTGCGAGTCGATGGTTATCATAGATAAACGGGAAGTTCCCTAGGCAGGTGGTCCGAACTAACAACACCTACAAGAATAGTACTAGTCTGTACCAGACTGCTGAGTAGCTGTACCAGCTACTTTATTTTGTAATAAATACACATGTACTATGTTGGGATTCCCTCCTCCTATATAAAGGGGACCTTTATTGTTTTTTGCACACACGATGAGATACTACTTACAACATTCAATACAAGAACATTCTCTCTACTGTCTAATTTAAACATATTCTCTTGATTTCACTATTTACTGCTTACATTTATTGTGTTCTATTTATTGTTCTTCATTTATTTCTCATTATTGACCATAAAGAGCTTTCAACAAAGCTCTCAATATTGTTAGCCCTTCATCGGCTGCCCATAGCTCAATGTCGAGCTCGACCTCGAAGCCCCGCATAATTAGGCTCGAAGCCCCGATTCTCAGCCGCTCGGTTTGCCTAAATGTACTATTTTCAAGTTCTTATCTTATTTTTCTAGTCTCATACTTAGCATCTACTTCCTAACAACTAGCATAAAAATAGATGACGTATTTTTAGAACCATAAAATCAAATTTAATTGTAATTACCATTTTCAAGGTAAACAATTGTATACTATAATAGTATACTGTTGCAGTATAACTATATACTCCTATAGTATATTGTATACTGCAGCGGTATACTGTTAGGTAACTGCGTTCTTCGATTATTACAATATACCGTTGCATTATATTATAAACTACAATAGTATACTGTTGCAATATAGCTATATACTTCGACAGCATATTGTAAACCATAGCGGTATAATGTAGTTGTGTTCTTCTTCGATTTTCAGCTGAAAATTTTGATCTCAATCACCTCAAATCAGCTCCAAATGCTATAAAATTTCAATATGAACTTCCAGAAGGTACCATAAGCAATATTTAACAGCACCCACTTTGAATCAAACAAGAAATCTTTAAAATAAAAATTTTAAATTCAAGAGCTTCAAGCCCAACAATGGTGAATATTCAAATACACATAAAAATTCAGATCCGGAAAGCTTACTTGAAGGTACCATAATTAATATTTTATAGCACCCACATCGAATCAAACAATAAATCTTTAAAATAAAATTTTAAATACAGGAGCTTCAAGATCATCAATGGTGGATCTTCATACACACAAAAAAATCAGAGAATATATAACTGCACCAACACATGGGTTCAGAAATATAAATAAATACAAAAAAAATACTAATATAGAAAGAGGATTTTGGAGTGAAACTCATGTACAATAATATTGAAGATAGAAACAAAATTTGAAGAAAAATTCACAAGTCAAATCAGTAACTGCTGTGTGAAATATGATTTCTCATGGTTTGGCTATGAGATTTTTGAAATGAAAGAAATAGTTGGGTGAAATAGAGTTAACTGAGGCATAAATGAGGGGAATAAGCTAATGCATGAGCCGGGTAAGTAGTTTGGACCGCATGGGTAGGAGAACTAAATAATTTTGGCCTAAACATTAAAAGGTAAATAGTGTAAAATTAATAGGTATAAAGTGAAATTTTCTCCTTTTGTTTTTATGGGTAAAATTTGGGCTATATATTTAGTCCAAAATAAATCAGATGCTAATTTAACAAGGGATTTTTACCTATCTATACCATATATCAAATCTTATTACCCTCAATGTTTAAGGTTTGTGTTTATTACATTTAAGCATACCAAATTACCATTTCTATACCATAATTCAAATTAGGGATATAATTAAGGGTTCATTTATATTAGGCATAATTATAGGACTATCTTCCCACTTTCTCTTTCCTTTCATCTCAA